ATCCGCATATCGGACTCGGACTCCCAGATCGATGCCTCAGGAGGCTGACCTCTCCACTATACACGAACAGAAGGAAAACTCTTCGACCTCAACTGACGAACCTGCTAGTCTAGAATAGCCATCGGCTCCTCCTCAAAAGACAAGTCCATGTCCAACTGGACAATGCTGAAATCTAGCACGTGGGATGGATCGCCATGATACTTCCAGAGCATGGCCACATGAAACACTGGATGCACGGCTGATAAGCTCGGCGGCTATGTAAATTTATAAGCCACCTCTCCCACTCGATCAAGAACCTCAAATGGGCCAATAAACATAGGGCTAAGCTTTCCCTTCTTCCCAAATCTCATCACGCCCTTCATAGGTGACACTCGGAGCAATACCTCCTCACCGACCATAAAATCCACATCTCGAACCTTGTGGTCTGCATAACTCTTTTGCTTGGACTGAGCTGTACAAAACCTATCCTGAATAATCCTGACCTTGTCCAACTCTCACTGAACTACTCTGTAGAAACGGGAGGTAAAATGCGTACCTCGGTCCGAAATGATAGACACAGGCACACCATGAAGACGAACAATCTCTTGGATATAGATCTCAGCTAACCTCTCAGATGAATAGGAGACTGCCACATAAATTAAATGCACTGACTTGGTCAGCCTATCAATAATGACCCATACTGCGTCGAACGTCATCTGAGTTTGCGGGAGTCCAACAACGAAGTTCATAGTGATCCGCTCCCACTTCCACTCGGGAAGCTCAATCCTCTGAAACAAACCACCACGTCTTCGTATGCTTATACGCCCTTTTATGGTAAGAACCAAATTTTCTGTTTGATTTGCTATTTTGTATTTTTTGCTTTTAGAGTTACTTTAATTTCTGACAGGCGCCAGCCCTAGCAGTAGCATCAAATGGAAAGGCATTAACTCCTGAAGAATTGGAAAGGAAAAAGAAAAAGGAAGAAAAGGATTGATTGAACACTATATTATTTTTTGGTTTTGGTGTGATGGATTATTCTCCACAATGATTCGTTGCAATTCGATATTGCAACAATAATAATTTTGGTATTCAAGTATGTGGATTCTAAACTAGGATTGAGCAGTTGATTGGTTGATTCAAAATATTCTAAAATAGATACTATCGATGTTTTTGATTGGTGACGGATTTAAGAAAGAAAAAAAACTTTTAAAATTGTGGTCTAAAATAAGTCATAGAGATTATGCTAAAAATTGGTAAATTGAGAAGTTTAAAGTTAAAATTAAGTGATAAATTTTGGTCAGACAGAGTAATATTTAACATCTTTTTGCGCTTTCAATATGTGTTTACTAGGGCTTACACCTTATGGTCCTTTTGTGTTTATTGGATGTGGTAGGCCAAAGAGAAAGAATTGAAAAAACTGAAGGCTGCACAAAAAGCAGAATTAGCAGCACAACAGGTAAAAAAGCTATTCCTACTACTTTTGTTTATTTGTGTATTTCATAAATGCTTATCTTCTTAGCTATCTATGTTATGCCATATATCAGTTTTGAAGAAAAGAAATTACCGAACTCTTGGAGCATCTATTACAAAACCTGATAAACGAAGGAAAGTTGTTTTTAGTCTTATCTTATTTATGCTTCTCTAATCATTAAACCCAAACTCTACCCAAATCCCTAATTTTCTACCCTTAGTCACATGTTTTTAGGCCTATAATCTAATAGATGCTGATGAAAATAGAAGAAAACAAGTTAAAGATTACTTACCTAAGAGATTATGGTGAGGAAGTGCTTAAAAATTGCCTAAGAGCTTTGGAGAAGAAGAGGTTTATGAAAAATGGCCAATTCCCCGTAATGCATTTTGTTTTTAAGCTTAAATAACTGGGCGGATTTTTGTTCTATGCGTTCGCTAAGAAAGGAATGTGATCGCATAGGGTAAGGGAAACTAGTCACTGCGATCGCGGAAGAATCAATGTGATCGCATAGAACAAATTGTGAGCTCCCAAAATTTACTCTATGCGATCGCGGAAGAATCAATGCGATCGCATAGAACAAATTGTTACCTCCCAAAATTTACTTTATGCAATCACTGAAGAATCAATGCGATCACATATAACAAATTGATGAATACCTAAATTAACTCTATGTGATCGCGGAAGAATCAATGTGATCGCATAGAACAAATTGATGACTACCAAAATTAAATCTATACGATCGCGGAAGAATCAATGCAATCGCATAGAACAAATTGATTACTACCAAAATTAACTCTATGCGATCGTCGAAAAATCAATGCGATCGCATAGAACAAAAACCTGGACACAGGTACCCTGAAGAGTTAAACCCCTCTGCCTTCACTCTAGGAAGAGAAGGAATAGTAATTTCGTCATCATTTTCCGGTCATAATTTCGGTATCCGGTGGTGGAACTAACCAAACTTGGTGTCAAAAGATACATTATTTCCTTACGAATAATACCCAATTTGTTTCAACTTCAGATCTATAGTCAATTTTTGTAGATCTTAATTTCATTTTCATGAGTTACTATAGCAGACAGTGTTCTTCATTCAATTTCAGCGATTCAGCTAATTCCAGCGCTACTTTTCAGCACAACAGCTTGTTTTGATAACGTGAAAAAATTATCTTCTCTTCTAAGATTGGTTTGAATTCTAAGCTTCATTTTAAATCGAAATTTCTATTTTTTACAGTTTGGACTGTGAAATTGGATTCACAGCCATAAGCAGTAAGTAACATGAAGCTAATTCGAATTACAGTAGCATCGTTTTCTTGCAAAGCTGCTGCACCTTTGTCAGGTAATTAAAGTGCTAAAGAATTACAACTGTAATGGACACACAGGCAGGTGGACAGCCACCTTTTGTGGCTGCGCTGCCTTCCCAACCTCCTCCAAACATTGAACAAACATCAGGGAACACAAATAACAACAAACAGCCGATGGATTACTCCAAAATTCTGAAACCTTGCACTTTAAATGCTGCAATGCATGAGCAACAGGAAGTTGAGCCAATTCCCATTCGTCCACCTACAATATTGAGTGGAGGGCATGTTATTCAGTTCACAGAAGCAGAAGTAGAAAGGATGGATATCATCGAAGGATTACAATATGCAATAGTTGGTAAATGTTCTTATGGCAGCCCAGAAATTCAACAACTGCATAAGTTAATACCAATTCAATGCGGAATTAAAGGTGAGTGTAACATTGGATTTCTAAGGGATAGGCACATTTCGATTAGAATGACGTTAAGGCAGGACTATCTTCATTTCTCATCAAAAACTCATTACATAAAGGACAGGGATGGTTATCAATATCAGCTTAGGCCATTGATTTATGACTCAAAGTTTAGAGCAGATGAAGAAACACCCAAGGCAATGGCTTGGATTTCATTCCCAGGTCTATTGCCAACCTTTTTTGTGAAGGAATGTCTATTTTCTCTAGCTACAGCAGTAGGTAAACCTATGCATCTAGAAATGGCAACAATTAATAAAATTAGACCTAGTTGTGCTAGGGTGAAGGTACTAGTTGATCTACTTGCAGATTTGCCTAAAAAGGTGAGGATGGACATATTCAATGAAGCTAAAGGAACAACAAGAACTGAATGGGTGAGAATTCAATATGACATGCTGCCTAAATATTGCAGACATTGTAAACTTCAAGGGCATGATCAATTTGAATGTTGAAGGATACACCCTGAACTATATGTGGAGAAGAAGAATGCTAACCAAGCAGATACAGCTAAGAAACAGGACATAGGGAACTCACAGTCTATAATGATTTTATCTAGTGGAAAGGTCATGGGTAATGTGAATGTTACAACAAAAGAGCAATGGAAGGAAGTGAAGGACAACAGAGTTAGAAATGTAGTAAATCAAAATACTAGTCTCAATAATAATGGAATGGAGATGGCACCAGCGAAGCAGCTTGAAAACAATCAGAACAAGGAGGGTACAAGTATTGTAGATAGACAAGCAGGAGCACAAAGCAACAGTGGTAAGGAATTGGTGGCAGTAGACAATGAAGATAATGATCATGTTCAAGTATCAAACAAGTTTGCAATATTACAAAGGATGGATGAAGAGGAAGAACCTGTTAATCAATTGGCAATGGTAGTAGTTAATGCAGCAACAAACAGTCCAACAGTTCATAACCAAGCATCTACAAAGCAAAAACCAAAACATATGGTCAATAATGAGGGAAAGCTAAATCCAGCAGCACAAGCTTTTCATCTTAACTCATCGGGGATTGGTTCGACTAATGGTCTAGTCAATGGAAATGAGGTATCAAAAGCAAAAAAAAATATACTGCACAATGGGTAGAAAGAAGTTTCGAGGATAAAACAGGAGATGGAATAGTGAAGATCAATACATCATGCTAGGAAATCCCATCACAAGATACATTAGTGAACAAGGTACTTAATAAAACTCCAAATTCTCAAGCAGAAAGGTCAAAATCGTCTACATTTAAAGAAAGAGTGCAAGGCTGTGGAGGCAGGCTATGGGATGCAAAAAGGGAATACGATTCAGAGGAGAACGAAGTACCACTAGGAGCACAAGCTGATGAGGAACCAAATGAGAAGGACAAAGAAAAAGATGAGCAAAAGGTAAATGGAGATCCTCATGCCAATGAAAACAATACAACTGGTAATTTTTTAATAAAGGGGGGATCAGAAAATGTTGAGCACAACAATAATTATCAGATAGCAGAAGTCACAGAAATTAGAAACTATGAAAGAAGAGGCCCAGAGGTAAATGATCCTGGAGGAACAGAAGATGATAAACTTCAGAAATCACAAGAAGACCCACAAGGACACAACACAATAGAGAAGGAGAAACAGCCAAAACAAAAAATAGAAATAGTAAATGTTACTGTTACATTGGAGAAAAAGCAGTTGCAGCTGTTAAAAAGAGGAGAAGAGAAGGCCTTGGTCCCTAAAAAGAATGCATTTGGAGCTACATCAGGAGGGAAGGAAGACAATGAATAAGGAGAAGAAACTGGTAGATCAAGATACGACATGGATCAAGAATCAACTACCCAACACCTTATGAATGCTGCAAGGCAGGTAACTTATCACCTACGCAAGTGGAAAAGGCAAAATCAGCAGCAAAAGGTAAGAAGAAACAACAAAAAGATAATTCTGCAGCCCCAAAAGCTGGGTTGCACACAAGGAGAACGCTAACTAAATCCAACAATCAGTGATGAATGCTCTCATTTGGAATATAAGGTCAGTCAACACATAGTAGGCCTTTGAAAGGTTGACAGAAATGTACAGGCAAAATCACTATGAATTCGTAGGATTAATGGAGACAAAGCAACAAGCAAAAAAACTGGAAAGGTAAAGAAACAAGATAGGACTTGCACAGGCAATTTCAAATGTTTCCAACAAGATCTGGGCTTTTACAGATGAGGTATTTGAGGTAACTGTTATGTACAACATGGTACAACAATTAACACTAAGGTTGTTTCATACTGAATCGCATGTGGAGTTTGTCCTAACATTGATATATGCTAAATGTGATACAATTGAGAGGATAGAATTATGGGATTCATTATATGAAATGGCAAGGTATATGGATGCACCATGGCTTGTAGGAGGTGATTTCAATGTAATATGGGACGAAGAAGAGAAGTTTGGTGGGTTACCTGTGTCATTGAATGAAATTGATGATTTTTGATACTGCGTCAACACTTGCAATATCTTCGACCTTGGATTTAAAGGCAGCATATTTACATGGTGGAATGGGAGAGCAGAGGAAGACTGTATATTCAAAAGGCTAGATAGATGCTTGGCCAATGTTGAGTTCCAACAAACATTCCCAGGAATAAAGGTGCAACATTTGTCAAAGACTGGTTCTGATCATAGTCCAATGTATCTGAAGTGTGATATTGAGACTCCACCAATAAAAAAGCCTTTTAAATTCTTGAATTTTTGGGTGGAACATGCGACTTTTAAAGATGTGGTGAAAGAGAATTGGACAGCTGATTTCAGTGCAAATCCTTATATTCTTTTTAATCACAAGTTAAAAAAATTAAAGAAGGCCCTTTCATTGTGGAGTAAGGCTACATTTGGAGATATTTTCCAAAAGATAGCAAGCATGGAGGAGGTAGTGATGGTTCATGAAGCAGAATTTGAAGCAAATCCTACAGGGATGAACAGGGAAAGGCTACAAAAGGTTCAGGCAGAATTGATCAAATGTATTGCACTAGTAGAGAAATATTGGCAACAAAAGGCAGGCATGACTTGGTTCAAGGAAGGGGATAGGAACACGAAGTTCTTCCATGCACAAGTGAGAGGTAGGAGGAAGAGATTTCAGCTTAACAGAATTCAAAATAGTGAAGAAACATGGATTGAAGAAGAACAAGAAATTGCATAAGAGGCTATCAAATTCTACGAGGAACAGTTCACAGAAGCAGCTACTCCTTCATCATTTGATATCGTAGAGCATGTTCCTAATCTGATTAATACTGAGCAGAATGCAGAATTGATTAAGCATCCATTAAGGGAGGAGGTTAATGTGGCAGTACTTGGACTTAATGGTGATAGTGCTGGGGGGGCAGATGGTATGACAGGCAAATTCTATCATTCTTGTTGGGACATAATAGGGGATGACCTGTACGACATGGTGAGGGCTTTTTTCAATGGTCATGAGCTACCCAAGTGTGTAACACACACCAACCTAGTTCTGCTACCAAAGAAAAAAGAAGTTACCACTTTTTCTGATTTAAGACCAATAAGCCTTAGTAACTTTTCAAATAAGGTTATATCAAGGGTGGTACATGAAAGGCTAGTGAAATTTCTCCCAAGTGTGATATCAGAGGAACATTCAGGTTTTGTTAAGGGTAGGAATATAGTAGAAAATATCCTTCTAACTCAGGAGATAGTGACTGACATTAGGCTTAGAACTAAGGCTGGACCTAATGTCATCCTGAAGCTAGATATGACCAAAGCTTATGATAGATTATCTTGGCTATTCCTAACCAAGGTACTGAGAAAGATGGGATTCATAGAAAGGTTGATAGGGATTGTCTTTGGATTAGTTTCAAACAATTGGTATTCTATTCTAACCAATGGTCAAGCTCATGGGTTCTTTAAGTCCTCAAGGGGAGTAAAACAAGGTGATCTTATATCTCCAACTTTGTTTATCTTGGCAGCAGAAGCATTATCTAGGGGTCTCAATGCACTACATACTCACCTGTATTTTTGTGAATTTGGGATGCCAAAGTGGAGTCCAAAGATCAATCATTTGGCTTATGCGAATGAAATGATTATTTTCTCATCCTCAGATGAAACATCTCTGATGTTGATTATGCAAGTGTTGAATACATATGAAGTTGCATCTGGGCAGCTTGTTAACAAGACCAAATCAGTTGTGTACATGCATCATTTAACAGACATGTAAGTGGTCAACAAGGTAGAAAGGATCAAAGGCATTCATAAGAATGATTTTCTTATCATATATCTAGGTTGTCCTATATTTTATGCAAGGAGAAAGCTGGAATACTATCAGCCCCTAATTACTAAGGTAATGGACAAACTGCAATCATGGCAAGGCAAGTTATTATCAGTTAGGGGCAGGGTAGTTCTCATATCCCATGTACTGCAAAGCATGCCTATGCATCTATTATCAGCTGTAAACCCTCCAAATTATGTGATAAATAGGTTGCAAAAATTGTTTGCTCGGTTTTTCTAGAGAAGCTCTGTAGGAGGAACTAGTAGGCATTTGGCTTCATGGAATACATTATGCATGCCAGTTGGGGAAGGAGGAATAGGTTTCAGGTCACTGCATGATGTAGCAAAGGCATTATTCAGCAAGTTGTGGTGGAATTTCAGAACAAAACCAAGCCTATGGAGCTCTTTCGTATATCAGAAATACTGTAAGAAATTGAATTCTATAATTGTTCCATGGAAAAGGGGGTCTCACATTTGGAGAAAAATGTTGGAATGCAGAGATCTGATTGAACATCAAATCTTTTGGCAAACAAAAAGGGGATCCTCACTATTTTGGTTTGAAAACTGGACAGGTCTTGGGGCACTATATTTTTTAGTTCCTCAGGACTTTGGCATTGATGAAACTGTACATAATGTACATGATGTTACCTTAGATGGTGAGTGGGATGTGGACAGGCTATTTGAAATGCTTCCTGAAGACTTAGCAGTACACATTCTGGAGAAAATCAAACCACCTTCACCTCAGCAGGTTCTTGACATGCCTTGTTGGATGCAGGAAACAAGAGAATATTTCAGTGTTAAGTCAGCATGGGATTATAAGAGAAGAAGAGATGAACCAAGAACAGCTTATATGATGATTTGGGTAAAGGGACTGCCTTTTAAAATATCATTTTTCATATGGAAAGTGTGGAAAGCAAAGCTACCTTTAAATGATTTCTTGAAAAGGGTAGGCTACTGTATGCCATCAAAATATTGGTGTTGTGTACAGCCTAACGAGGAATCTCTTCAGCACTTGTTTTTAGATCAGAAACTGCAAGGACAACTTGGAAGTATTTTCTATCGAGGGCAAGAATAGCTGTGGAGGGACAAACATTGCACCAAGCAATCACAAAATGTTGGACTACAAATGTGTGCTTAAGGCTCAAACCAGTAATACAAGCACTCCCCTCATGTGTAGTCTTGGAACTCCGGAAAAGAAGAAATAGTATGAAGTATGGTGATGCTGTGACAACTAGCAGGTGATTTATCAAGTTTCATCAAATCTCCAGGCATTGGTGAAAGTGATAAAGCCTGGGATGGA